GGGGGGGCGGGGGGGGGCCGGCAAATCTCCGCGCGCTGCCGCGCCTGCAAGTCGGCAGAGCAACCGTCGAGGCACCGCCTGGGAACGCGCAGAAATCTCACGCGCCCCGCGTCGTGAGTGGACGGACTGAACCGCCGCGCCATTCCGCGCGGCGAAGCCCCAAAACTGGCCATAGCGAATGAAACTTTGGATTTGCGTCGGGAGCAAATGGGCCACCGTGGGCCCAGTGTCTACGCGAGGGTAGTCTCGTGGACTCGGCAAGATATCGGCCAATAGAGATCCCGCGTGCTTCCGCGCCTCCGCCTTCCCGCGGCCCCACGGCAGGGGGGGGGAATCGTGGCCCTTCGCTTGGTCTTCCGTATGGCGAAAAATGCCCGCGGCCAGACGAGCGAGCCAGAGACCCACCCCCGCTCTTCGCAACGGCAGGGGGTGGGTGGGTGAATGGGTCGGGCGGGAAAACCCCCAGCGGCCACGCGCCGCTCGGGGCCCCGCCCAGCCGACTTCGCGGCGCCCGCCGAAAACGCGTCGAACAGAAGTCCCGGGAGGGCATCGCGTGGCAAGGCCCATCGAACATCAGTGTATGTGAACACGCTGGTTTCTCGCTAACTGTGTAGATCAACGCGCGCAAGACATCGTGGAAAACAGCCCTGGTCTCTTCCGTGAAATGGCCGCCGTCGCGGAGTTTTCCCCCCCGCGCCGGCTTAGTGACCTCGCTCTCTGCGATAGCTGCCACTGCAATGGGGCTGCGCCAGAGGGCGGCGCATCGAAACGCGACCAGGGAATAATCGATTGTCCAGCGACGCCGCGCAGAGGTGAGATGAGCAAGCATATGCATGGCAACGGCCTCGCCGGTTCCTGCGGCGCCCCCGAACACGGGCCCGCGCCGCTCGAGCGCGCGCGGCGGCATGGGCGCCCGAATCCCGCAGCCAGCGCGCCCGAGACAGGCCGGCGCGCAGCGGTCTGAGCCGTCGCATTTGTCTTGGCGTCTTTAGTCTCCGAAGCATGCAACTCGCTGGACCGCGTCAAATCAACGACCTGTTTGGATTCGTCCTGGAACCTGACGTTCAACGCATCATCCTGCACTTTGGGCGCCCACCCCTGGGGAAAAAGGCTCTGCGGTTCTGCCGCGCGATGCAGCCGTGCCGGGCTCTACCCGCCCGGAGCTCACGATGCGCGCGCTGGCTTCGTCGTGGAGATGGCAGGCGAAAGTGGGACCTAGCCGTTGCGCCCGCCTGGCTCTGCAGCCGCTGATTCAATGACTTGATCGGGGCTCCATTATTTCAGCATCTCTGCAAACGCGCCCCGCGCTGCGCCAACGTGGGCGCGGCTGATGGGGCGGGCTCCGTCAACTGTGAGATTGCTACAGAAGTCGCGCGCTAACTTTGACAATGCGAGGGGGTTCGGCAAGCCAGTTCTCGCAAACCTATGCTGGCGGTATCTCGCCATGGGACTTCTGCGCGCGTGTTTCTGCTAACTGCGCCGCGAGCGACTCGACTTGCTTGCCCCGGTGCGACGTCGCGTGCTGCATCTGCTTGCGTTGAGCAAGCTCATCTGCAGAACGACGCCGCTTGCGGCTGGCATGGGCGCCGAGCTCCGCGGAAACGCGCGTTTGGAATGGCCCAAGTGCTTCCAACGCGCGGGGGGGGTAGCTCTGCGCGGCCAGACGCGCGAATGGCCCCTTCTAAATTCGCCGCGGCATTCAACGCGCGCGCTGGGGCGGGCGCCCCTTCGATTTGGCCCTGGCGGGCCACAGGGCCCAACGGCTACTGAATGAAACGGGCGAGCGTTGCAGCCGTGGCCGGGGGCGCGCGACATCCGAGAAGGTGCAAGCCTAACGCGGCCACTGAAACCAATCAAGTCGCGAAGCGCGCCGACGGTTGACGGGAAATGCGCGCGACCCCTGTTCGTGCAGGGTCGACCTGACTGCCCATATATGTCGCGACTGCGTTGCACCATGTCACATGAACCGCGTCGTGCACGGCGCTGCGCGGCACAGCGGGCAACGAATCCGACGCTCGCAACACGGCGCCGCACGGCACGACGACACCCTTCACAGTCAACGCCTTGAGACCGACTTGTTTCGCTTGTCGCATTGTCAGTCTACTGGGCGTCCATGTTTTTTCAAGGGACCTGGCGGCCCATGATGGCAGGCAGCCTGCGCGGAGCTTCGAATCTTCTAACGCCCAGGGGCTCGCCCGGGGAGGAGGAGGAGGAGGAGGAGGAAACGGAGAGGCGAAGCGGAAAAACCAATGAAGCGGCAAGGGGATTAGGCGGCAGGAGGAAGTATAGAGGGTCAATCGCGGCTCATAGCGGGGGAAGATCAAGCGATAATATGAACCGAAGCTCCCGGCAGTTGCATCCGAAGGAGAGGCCTTGGCGGCAGAAGCGAGCGAAAGAAAAAAAGAGCGAACAAAAGGACAAACGGGAACGGCAACCCCAGGAGGTCCTAGAACACCGATATGTTTCCATACTGACTTCGACCCTTTGAACGTAGCCCGCATGTTTGAAACGCTGCTCCAAATCATGATGATTTCGCTGGGGAGGTCGGTTTATTGTTATTTACATTGTTCCTGTGTTTCCCACGCTTCCCAGAACCTTGCTGGGGCGAACGGCAATGCAGGGCGTGACCGCAGAAGGCTCAGGGAAATTTGACGAATGAGAACATACAATAACTAACAGAAAACATCTGTCCCCTTGGGAGGGACCAGCATTTTTGAACCGCTGTTCCTAAGAACGGCGTGTTCGCCTGGAACTCGATTTAATTGCTGATGCTTCTGGATATTATATTGTTTATGTCCCCAAGCCCCCCTGCGGCGAACTGGAATCCAGGATGGTGGTTCCAGGACGGCTTAGGATTGTTCAGATTTTCTTCTATATGGAAATATCGTTCCCTTCAGGACAGGTAAACCATCAACCACAACAATTGGCTCGCGCCCCTCACCCCCGAAAGGTTGGCGCAGATCAGGGGCAGGTCCGAAACATATACATCAATACCACACACCAAGAACATACACAAGCAAAATAGACCCACATCGCACACTAGGAACATACATCTTGATGTCGCGAAATCCCTGCTGGGGACCGTTCGAAATATGATTATTGATTCACCGATTTCTTGTGGGGATGCGATGTTGGTGCCAGCTTCCAATTTAAATGGACGTATGGCAACTTAGGACAGGGCTTGTACTTAGCTGGCCGTTCAAGGCTACGGGCGAATTATCTATGGTAAGACTTGCTGCTCGGTAAGGGGGTCTGACATAGATGGCTGGGGGAATATGTCTGGTTCTGGCATGATGCTGTGTGGGGTTTGCCAAAGCTCGGGGTGAGTGAGGGGAAATGAAAGAGGGGAGGACAGAGTCGGGAGGTCAAGGAGAGGAGGCGAAAGAGGCGATGCGACAGAAGGACGATGGATTTTCGTGTTGGGAGGGTAGGGAGGAGGAAAAGGAGGAGGAGGAGGCGGAGGAAGACAACGAAAAAAAAAGAGGGACGACGAGCAACACGCCCGAAATGGGTACGGAAACAATTGGTACGATGTAACACATGTTGTCCAGCACCGACGGCGGCCGCAGTTGGGGGCAGCCGGCCCTCTGCCTCTTTATGGACAGTGCCCGCGGCGACGCCGACAGCGAGCCCTGCTCAACACCGGCAGAAACTGCTGCTGAACTTCGTGCCCGGCCCACTTCGGGCCTCCGGAAAGAAAGAGGGGGCGCGGGAGGAGGGGTGGGAAGAGGGAAAGGGGGGGAGGGAATAAGGGGTGAAAAACGAGGAGGGAGGAAGGAAAGACTCTCCCTCCTCCCTCTCTTTCTCCCTCGTCCCCACGGGGATCCGGTACCCTGTCCCTTCGGTCCGCGCCCACTTCGATCCTCAGGAGAGGATGAGGAAAGGCGACGGTGACGATCGGGGAGACGGAAGACTCGGGCTCGGGGGACTCAAGTCGGCCCGACGGGCCCGTCAGGAACATGACGAGACCCAAGCAGAAACGTGACGCGGCCTCCCGCTGCAAAACTGCCAAGACCCGGAGCGGGCCCGTCGAGAACCGCTGGCAGACCCGAGCTCTGGCATGCTCCAGTCTTACGCTGCCCCGAGGCGAGAACGACGCGCCTGGGGAAACCCAGAGGTACCGATACCGCGGCTCCCCAGACTTCTCCTGCGGTGCGTCCTGACCAAGACTAACCAGCCTCGAACTTCTCCCCATCCCTGAGATCGGCAAGCCCAAGGCGATGCCAATGTTAGGGATGTGCCCTCAAAGACAAGAAGGGGATCCTTACGATCGGCACCTAGTTAAGGTGATGCGTTTCAACCTGGTCAACGACTTCAAGGCGACTCCAGCGGTGGCGACGAGGGCCTCCCCTGAGGCTCACACAAGGGAACATGGGCGAAGGGCCGAGGTATGGTAACGGTCGGTCGAAAGAAGTGAATAGAAACGATTTGGAAAGGCGTTGGACGTCGACTGGGCTTCAGCCCGCCCCCTGAAGAGAAGAGAAGAGGGCCAACCACTCGATGATGGAAGTAGGAAGGCGCCTAAAAGTAGATTTGGGATCTGGAGGTCCAGGAATACCTACTTTCTGGGGCGCGCAAACATGGACTACCGATCATAGAATTGGCGCGCAGTCGCTAAATCCATGGATCGAGGGGGGCGCCCTCCCCAGAATGCGGCCAGTGCCGACCCGTCCCACCGCGGAAATCTGCGACTTCCCGTGGAAACGGGACCCGTCGCTAATCCACGCCCCCTTGATCCGTGTTTGCGATCGCCTGATATTTTCAAGGACCGAAATGTACTTTTGCCTCCTCCGAGCATCAGGTCGGGCATGTCCTCCTGGAGGCGGTTGTTGGACGAAACATAAAATCATCGTCACTCCAGCTTCAAAAACAGTCAAAAGACAATCATCACATCTTCCAGAATAAGCAGGGATAGTCTAAAATCCTCCCTGGACTATTTTCGAACTGTCCCTCTGTAGAGGGACATGCCCGACTCAATCCGAGCGCCAGCGCCCGGCATCCTCGGCGGTATAGCTCCCCAGCTCCGCGCGGGGCGAGGCCGAGAGGGCGCCACCCGCAGCCCGCGCCTGCGGGCTGGGCGGCTCCCGCGCCTCGAGGCCGTGGCCTGGCCGGGAGGGGGAGGCGCGCCGAGCGGGAGGAGGAGGTGGGGGAGGAGGAGGGAAGAGGAGGAGGAGGGAGGAGGAGGGAGGAGGAGGAGGGGGGAGGAGGAGGGAGGAGGAGGAGGAGGAGGAGGAGGAGAAGGAGGAGGAGGAGGAGGAGGAGGTACCGAGCGATGGAAGCGCGAGTCCGAGCTAACGGACCCGCCCCAGCGGCGTGAAACACAGAAGCTGCACTGCAGGGCATGAAGCCTGCTGCAACGCACAGCTCTTCCTCAACAGCTGCGTCCCCACTTCATCGGCCAAACCAACAGAGGAGACTAGGCGTCGAGGGTGGCATTAGGTGCAAGAGGCACCAGTGCGAGGATGAAGACCGCGCATCGCATGAGAGATATGCATCTCCTCGTTGGCGCGAGTGGACGCAACGTCCGAATGCCCTTTGCATCTGGCCTGCTGCAACTTCTTCTTGCGGCCGCCGGCAACGGAATAGGCACCACACGCAAGACAGACGACCACCGAGCCGAACCTCTCGGCAACGTGGCCCAATTCCTTGCACAAATCCACCTCCCCGTCGACCCCCCCGACGGCGACGACATCAACCCGCTCCCCCTCAACGTACCCTGCCTCGGGGCCAGACGCCTCCTCGAGGTCACGGGCAGCACGCACGGCTTCGACAACTGCGGCCGAAGGGTGGCGGAAGGTCTCAGGAGTGAGATTGAAGTACCTGGCCGCCGAGGCACGCTGCAAAGGGGAGGGCGCGCAGGGACGCGCGCGCAGCGCCTTCAAGGAGGCAGGGGTCCGAGCCCAATGGTTGCAAACGCGACAACGATGTTCAGAAAGCCGGTCGCAAACCATGAACTCATGGGTCTCAAGGGCCACAATTGGGGCAGGAGGGGGTGCTCGTCTGGGCGCTGGTGCACCAGCGCGCGGCTGGAGCTCATCGACCCTCCGTGCCACTGTGCGGGCCATCTATGAAAACACGTGGGCGGCCTTCTGGGCCTCGACCAAACGCTGCCGATGGACGTCCTGGAGCACCTGGGCAACCATATGAGACCTAGCGCCTTTTTTTCGCAAAATGGTCAGCCCACTCATTGCCAACAAAATCCAGAAAATCAGCGGAAAAATCGGCCAGTACATCTTCAGCAGAAAGATGTGCGGGCACCCACTGAAACGTAGGGTGCTCGTCCGAGCTACTACCACTGGCAACGTGCATGGACCTCCAGACCGAAGCATACCGGGAGCGAGCCGACTCGTTACGGGGCCCCCATGCTGAGCCCGTCTTGACAGCAGACAAATGGTCAGAGACGATGTACACCGAACAACCGGCACACTTGACCGCCATCAAGCAAGCATAGTATTCAGCCCTAGGGACAGTCTGGACTGGGCCTGGGAGCGCTCCAAAAACTGCTCGGAGGATGGCCCCCGACGCGTCGAGCTCCACGACCGCCCAACCGCATCGAGTGAGACCTGGGAGCGAGGAGGCTAACCCAGACCCGTCCGTGTACACCTTCCGCCCCCACACTCCGCGCCAATCCCCCCGCCCGAGAACTGGTTGCGAGCTCGCAGGAGCAGCAGGGAAAGGCGGCATGGGCGGCAGCCCAAAGCTAAGATAGAACGTCTCGATTCCGTCGAGCGGGCTGCTGAGATTCGAAATCATGGCCTCCCGATGCTCCAGGACATCATCGGGCGGCCGCTCATCTTCGGGGACATCTAGGACCGCGGGGCATCCAAACCACTGGTGGGCCTCGGTCCCCAGGCACTGACGGCAGACAAAACATTCGGGGGTCGGGCGGAGCTGGATAGAATGTAGACGAACGGGTGTCCACACGCCGGCGGCCCAGAGGGCCCTCAGAGCTCCCCTCCTGCTCGCGTCGCGTATTTTGAGCACCGAGCGGCGCATGGCTCGCCTCCAGCACGACGCCTGCGAACCATTAGGCAGGTGCTCCAAGATGCGCGCCGACTGCCACCGACGAGTTCCTTCCTCAACAAGCCTGCGCACGTCCCACGGGCAAGACTGGAGGAGGTCGACCAACTCCCCTTGGTCCGAGCGGAGAACATTGGGGGAGACCATGCCCCACCCCACCCTGAGCAAAGACAACCAGACGGCAGAAATCGGCCCCCGGGCACCAGCCCACGAAACGCGGTTATCAAAGCGCTCGCGCTCAACCGCGTGCACGAAGACGGCCAGGGAGGGCCAAGGGGTTCGGGGCCGAATCCCCCTCCTGCGAAATTGATGGTTTCGTTTTCCATCCCTTCTCTCCGCTTCGCGCTCTCTCTCTCTCTCTCGTTCTCTCTTTTTCTCTCTCTCTCTCTCTCTCTCTCTCTCTTTCCCACCCGAGAGAATCTCTATTGTGTCCTCTCTCCCTCTCTCTATCTTTCTGTCATCTTGCTCTCCGTGCACTCCAGAGTTGCCGCCGCGTTTTGACTTAGGCCGTTTCAGGGAAGCGGTCTGCCCAGGGCACGCTCGCAGCAGTCCGCTTGGCGCCTTCTTGATTGAGTTCAAGATCGAGAACCTGAGGCTCAGTGCAGGAAAGTCGTGAGATTCGAACGCCAAGAGGGACTCTCTCCTAACGCACCTCAAGCCGGCCTTCATCGAGGGCTACGGGGAGTTACGGTTCCCGTCACTTGCTCTCAAGCGGACGTGCATATAACCCTCGATGTACTCTTCCTCTCCATCCTCTTCGGCCCCATCGTCGCCCTGTCCACCTATGCCACTGACGTTTTCCACGCTGCGTGAACAACCGACCTTGTTCAATCTGATTAGGGAATTTGTATCTCGACGTCGAGAAGTATGGCTCGCGAAGTTTGTTCAGAGTTCCCTTAAGTACTACCAGGCCCTGGGACCAATTCTTTGGGACCTCGAGGAGCAATGGCGCAGGTTTCATCACGAAGATCGGATACGCCACGAGGAATGCTCATTGACTCTGGATGCTTTGGAATCGGAGGAAGGGACGTCGAGCTCGGAGTCGTTTCCGTACAGGGACGACACGTCAGGCTCGTGGAGGAGGTGGATGACGGCGAGACGTCCCCGTGCCTGGAGCTGGAGCAGCTCCGTTTCGCGATGCCATGCCCGATCCAGCAGAATATGGCCACGCGTACGGCCAGCAATTTTGTTCGTGAGGTCCTCAAGAGAGGCTCCGACTACACGATGGGGGGCATGGGGGCTCAGCTCAGGATGTGGTTGTGGGAGCGCCGTGAGCATCGACAAATCAGGGCATACCTCACGACGTTCCTAGCTATGATGTGTGAATTTGTTGGCAACCGACCGACAGACTTTCGCCCGTTTCGAGGAGTGGCCTTGTGGAGCACTATCGGAGTTATCCTAACCATGTCCGCTCTTTGTCGCCTACGGCATGCCTTCATGATGCCAAAGGTGCCCAAGTGGGCTCGACGTGTCTGGCGGATGCTACCCCAGAATGGCGTCGTGGAGTGCACAACTGGGATGAGCCGATCGTGTCGACTGCACTCTCCAGTGTTCTTGGCGTGATTTGTGAGCCTCATCGAGCAGTAGTGTACGTCTTGGGCAGCTATGCGTCTCTGTACGTCGGAAAAGCATGTATCAGAACTGGTGCCCTTCCTGGACTTCTAGGGCGCATCCAGGAGCACGTTCGGGCTCTCCTACACCCTCGGGTTCGACCAGGAAATCGACCTCGATATCGTGAACTTCGGCGTTCTGGAGGCTCGTTGTTTTTCTTACCAATACTGTGGGTACCATCTGAGGCAGCAAGTTTCCATTTTGAAACTCTCGCGACTCGGAGGTTTTCACCATCGGCGAATGCAGCTGATGCTCGAGAATCTGAACAGCAGAGCTTGAGACGGGGCTTGGGGACCCTCTATCTTCCTCCTAAGGTGAAGAACCGACCCCGACGACGACCCCCCTCGTGGAGACGACCACCTCCCCGGCGCACTCCTCCCCCAGTCTGGCTGACCGCAACCCCTGCCCACGTAGAGGCTCCTCACAGGCCCCCTCAGCCAATGCCCAGGAGCCCTGTCGGAACCTGCCCCGTACAGCATGCTCTACACCCTCCAGATCAAAGAAAAGTTCCTCCTCACCAATGTCGAGGGCCCCCTCTGGCTTCTGGGCCGTGAGCATCTGGGACTTCTTCTGCCGTACCTAGCAGCGAGATGGCGACCGTTGCCTGTGCGTGCGTTCTTATCACGCTTGGAGGTAGGTGCGATCCTGTTCAAAGCAGCAGGTCTAGCTGGGGATTTTCTGCAGAACTTCAACAGAGTCAGGGTAGCTAAGTTCCACATAGACCGTCATTTTGAGTGTCTTGGATTACCAGCGGCTCGAAGGCCCCTCTTGAAGCTACCCTTTGAGTACCAGATGAGGCACCTCCAGCATGTAATCAAAGGGGCCATGCAGTCGATGGTGAACCAGATGCGGTATGCTCCAGCACGGGAATGGTATGCTCAGCCTCCCCGTGTTGCTTTTCGTGCACGTCGGATCTGGAAGGATCGAGTATCGGCGAGTCGCTTCTGTGCAGCGTATCAGTCGCCATGCCTGCCTGAGTCAGTTGTCTCGTCCAACTTTGCGTCAGGACCACTACATTTGAAGCAGTTGGCAAGTTCGTGGCGACTACCCGTTTGGTGCGTCCCCCGCGTGGCCCTCAGGAGTGCGAAGGCACGCCTCCTGGAATGGGCGCAAGCAGCTCGACTTTCTCAGCCAGTTATCCGACGAGGGTTAGATTATTTGTAAAAAAGGTTCTCGTCACCTCTACCTCTAGAGCTAGATGTGGCCTTACCTCCACCTCCACCGCGCTGGCAATCCCTAGAGCAAGAAATGCAGGCATCTTTGGAACAAGCAGGCAGTGACATTTATATCGCAGATCAGGCGTATGAGCAGTGCAGTTCTACTCTCATCGGTCAAGCGTGGAAGGAGGTATCCGCAGAAATATCACATCGTCTAGGAACAGATGCAGCACTAGTTAAGCGTGGCAAAGAAAACACAACCAAAACTTTTCGATCAGGAACCCCACCAACGTATTTCAAGGTAACTATAGCAAATATCACGTCGACGATGTTAGCATATTGTTGGTTATCGTTAGTGACGATTGGTGGGATTCTGGCTGGACCTGGAATTGTGGCCCTCCGCGCATAAGATCTCCATTCGCCCGAAGAATGAGAACCGCGTTTGGCTTCTCCATGGTTGTGCAGAACCCCGCCCAAAAACACATATTCTTCCTTGGCCTGGAATCTCGCCAAGAGGGTTCAATATGGTGGTCTCTCTCTCTTCACAGGACGCCTCGCGAGAGCCCAATACCTGAGCCTACCTGTGAGAGTGGTGACGTCTTGGGTCCTGGAGCTCGTCTTGGAGTTGTTTGTCATGGGATACCCCTCGAAGCTTATCATCGCCTCCCTGCAGGCATGCCCCTGGTCCGTGGCCATACAGACGGCTCGAGCGACGGTGAGGTGCTGGCAACGTTTCTTCCTCCATCAGACCGAGATGGGACCCCGTGGGCCTCGTCAACCCTGGGCGCACTAAGGTGGAGCTCGCGAGAGTAAAGGGAACCCCAGCAACTACGGCAACCAGGACCGTGGTCATGAATTTCGGCGTCGTGACGGGAGTTGGGATCGTGAGTGCAGGTACGGTCCTGACCGTCGTGGACCTCGGGTGGGGATCGTGACTACCGAGACTCTCGGGATTCCAGGGAGCATCGGGACTACTACCGTGACACGCGGGATGTTCGTGACATTCGAGAGTACCGAGAGTATCGCGACCATCGAGATCACCGTGATGCCCCCTATGATCGCCGCTCTGAACGTGATGATCGTGGCCGTGGCTCCGACCGTGGAGACCGTGACCGTGGCCAGAGTCATGGTCGCCGCCGCTCCCGCTCCGCCTCAGGCAAGAAGGTGAACGTCCAGCGCCTCCGTGAGGAGTTGGCCGCAGTGGACCCTGAGTTCAAGGCATCGCTCAAGGACAAGGAGGACAGGAAGGAGGAGATGCAGCTTCGCAAGCAGGGCGAGTATGTGGCGATGGCCATGAAGTCGAGCTTCGGGGACCAGCTCAGCAAGCTCCTCGAGGCCTCGGACGGCAACAACAAGCAGAAAACATCTTCTGTGGCCGAGCGAGAGGTGAGCCCGACACCGGTGGCGGAGGCCCCCGCCAGCACGGCCCTTCTCAAGCGTGCGGAGATCGGTTGGCTCCAGTCCCTCATCGGCGGCAAGAAACAACTCGGCGCACGCATGACCTGGGCGGAGGCAGCTCAAGTCTTGGAGGCGCGCATGGTAGACAAGACGGTGGTCGCGCAGATCAACAAGTGCATCATCGCCCATCTCCCGAAGCGCCCTCCACCGACGAGCAAGGCGAAGCGTGTTCAGCTTGTCCTGGGAATTCTCAATGGCAGTGCCCTCTGAGATGTGAGTACCGAGACCATTGGAGCCAATACAGACTCCGAGGACGGAGACACCTGCCATGAGAAGAACTTCGTGATATCGAGTCGACCACCTCGTGGCTGGATCATTCTGGGTTTCGTGATTGGCTTTTGTGTTGTTCTCATTGTGAATATCTTGATTCCAGTAAAGGAGTGGAGGATGATCCAAGTTGCCCGCGCGTACCTTACCTTGCATTGGACACATCCTCGAGAGGCTGGAATGCTACAAGAGTTATCTAACATGGTTGCACTTCCGTTCGCGATAGCGAATGATCAGGAGCAGGCAATAGTCCGTCACATGATCACGGGCCTGGTAGGGGCCTCGATTCCAGTGATGGCAGGTCAACTCCCATTTGGCAGTGCTCTAACTCTCCTCCCTAAGCTTGTAGCCCACCCCGCCCAGTGTCAGGAAACTAGACCCCGTAAGGTAAAGCAGGTTTGTGATGAGACTTCGGAGCCGATCTCTCTTAGGATTTGATGCCCAGGTCTCTGATATCCCTTGCCCTCTCCTTCTTAAATATTATCCCTGCTCTCTCCCCCCAACCCTCTGAAAGAAGGCTCCCAGAGGTGATGTGCTAATGCCGTGAGCTGTTCCCTCAGGTGTGAACCGCGTCATGGGCCTTTTTCCCCTGTCTTCCTCTTCCAGTTTCAGGCCCTCCCCTATGTACCTTGGAGGTCTTGATTGTAGGTCTCGTAAGCTGTACCCTTAGTGACGAACTCAGACCCAGAGGTTTTCCCGTTTCCCGCTCTCCCTGTTCAAGCTCCCTTTTTCAAGTTCTTCCTGCCAGTGGAGAATAGGTGGCATCAGCTCGACATGGGGCTCCAGTGGGTGCCATACTGCCAGAGTATGAGCGTGGAACACTTCTTCCCCCTCTATTGATAGGTGTTATCCCTTTCAGGTCACCTTTCCTCCCCCCCCCTTTGCCCAGAGAGCTGATGCTGATCATGACCAGCCCTGCAGTACCACGAGGCGCGCGATGGGCCTCTCTCTCTCTCTCTCTCTCTCTCTTTCCCACCCGAGAGAATCTCTATTGTGTCCTCTCTCCCTCTCTCTATCTTTCTGTCATCTTGCTATCCGTGCACTTCAGAGTTGCCGCCGTGTTTTGGCTTAGGCCGTTTCAGGGAAGCGGGCTGCCCAGGGCACGCTCACAGCAGTCCGCTTGGTGCCTTCTCGATTGAGTTCAAGATCGAGAACCTGAGGCTCAGTGCAGGAAAACCATGAGATTCGAACGCCAAGAGGGACTCTCTCGCTCTCTATCAGTCTCCCTCCGCCCGTACCTCCGCCCGAAGAGCCAGGGTGCGGGCGGGTGGTTTATGGGGAGGGCAGGACGTGTGGGCGAGTGGGCGACGTGTCCCAGGAGTGTGGGCGGGTGTCTCTGGAGTGTGAGGCGAGTGGGCCCTACCTGGGGCCGCGAAGCGTGTGAGGGGTGTGTGTGTGTGTGTGTGGGTGTGTGTGTGTACCGAAGTGGAGTGGGCCAGGAGTGCGGGCGGGTGGGTTTCAGGGAGGGCGGGAACAATCAACATCGAGTCGGACCGCATCGATTTAGACGTGATTCGAATCGGATTGGACGTGCTTCGAATCGGATTTGGACGGAACTTCGTATCGGATTTGGACGTGCTTCGAATCGGACCGCATCGGTGCGGAGGCGGAGTCGAATCGGAGCGGCGGCGCCAGGACGCGCAGCAGCGCCAGGCTGAGGCAACGGGAAGCACCTAATCATGCCCCAACAATCGGAATCGAACCGAGTCAGGCCGACTCACGCCAACGTCGAATCGAATCGAGATGGACCCTGACGTGGGCGGGTGGGTCAGGGTGGGCGGATGGGTTAGATACTTCGGCCTGGCCGAGCAGGGTGGGCGGGTGGGTCACGGGGGGGTGGGGGCAGCTTCTGGAAGGGCTGTGCGGAAAAGAATACCCGTCACTCGTAAGACGCGGGCTGAAGCACGGCCGCAGATGGGCGTGAAGGAGTGGACTGGGCTGCGGCCCGCCCCCTGAAATCGCAGGAAAAACTAAGGCCATCTGATTATTGAATTTGGGAGGCGCCTGAAGTGGATTGGGGCACATTCAAAACTGGTAGTAACAATGCGCGATAAGAATACAAGCCCCTTGGAAGCCCATGCCGACGCTCTTCGAATGGGGCTGGTCATCGAACATTGTTGAGGATGGACCGACGATGACTGAAGAGGCAAAGATGAAAAGGTACCCTTGAGAAGTCGTTCATCCTGACTATCAGTTTTGCCTGTATGGTGTTAGGAAAAACATCATGGAAGCCTCGCGCGGCAACTCGAGACCCAGTGTACGTCAAATCCACGTCGGATGTACGTCGGGCTCGTCGGATTCATGTCGGAACATCGCCGTGCGAACGTCGTCCCATATCTGACGGGGCGGACGCATTGACTAGATGATACAGCTATTGCGCGCCGCGCGAGGTCTCCTGGATGGTCCTCGCAGATGGTTGCGCACACATGCAAGAATACTTTCAGCGAGCACCAGATAAAGACTATTGATCCCGACCAAAGGGCATGTTTAAAATCCGCTGCACCCCCGGGTGGGCGCCAGGCGGTTCGGGTTGATGCTGCACTGCTGTCCTCATGCTATTGTGCTGTCCTTCATAGAGTCTCTTGATCTCCAGCCCTGTCTCCGTTTCGCTCCAGTCCTGTCAAGAGGCTCCCAAGAGGCCCCAAAGAGACCCCCAGCAGGACTCCAAGATGCCCCGAGGAGCCCAAAGATTGCTCCCAAGAGGCACCGAAAAGCTCAACGTCCTCCTCCTCCTCCTCCTCCTCCTCCTCCTCCTCCTACTCATCATCATCATCATCCCCTTCCGCATCCTTCTCCACCGCGGGCTTTCCAGAATCTGACTGGGAGCGTGTCTCGTCAATGGGGGGTTACGGGCTCACTAGCCACGGACGTAACGAATCATACCTGTGAATACTCTTGACCTGTCCCCAAGTGCAGTCAACCCGTATGGCAAGGATGCGCGATAAAGATGCAAAGGCATTGGACGCCCATGTCGAAGCTTGTCGGGCGGGGCGCTGCCAACGAAAGTGGCCAAGGATGGACCGAGGAGGCAAGGATGCACGTGGAAGCCCTTGGGGAGGTTGCCCATCATTACCCATCGGTCTGAAGAAGTAGGTCGAAACATGAAGTAGGAAGGCGTTGAAAATATATTGGGTGTACGCCCGCCTCCTAAGGAGGACGGAAAAAGGTGGAGCCACTCGATCCTTGAAGTAGGAAGGCGCCTAAAGTAGATTGGACTATGTGACTCCCAAAATACCTACTTTCAACGACCGATGGGTACCCTTGGGAAGGTTGCCCATCCTTAATATGCGGGTTGACTGTCACCCCCACGACCAGTCCCGACACCTGCTCGGCGCCACCCTGTGGGCCGGCGGCACAGGACGTAGCCCCCACGATGAAGTCAAATATGAACCAGAACAGGAGCGGGATCAGGCCAGCTCAGACCCGTTGCCAACCACGGATGTAACAATGCCGATGCTGGGATTCAATCTCACAGATCAGATGCCCTCTCGCGTCGTGAAACAATCACGACGGGCAGCTGCTTGAAATGATGCGGTCTCTGGGGGACCCCGGGGCTGTCAGAAAACCACTCGAGATGAGAAACAACTAATCTCAGGGATGGGGCAGGGACTCCTGCGGACGCCGGGATAAACAAAAACATTACGCTTGAGGTCCTTGGCAGAATGGTGGAACGGGGGGCAGAGGGTCAGAAGCAAGAATACGTTGGACAGGGGAGGGGGAGGAGGAGAAGGGGCGAGGGAGGGGGGAGGAAGGAGGGCGGAGAAAGGAGAGCGGCGGGAGGAAAAAACCACGAGGGAGCAGACAACGGAACTGGGGTTCCCTCCCTCCCTCCATTCTTCCAATCTGCGGATCCTGTCCTCTTGCCGTCGGGCCTTGCTTACATTTTGTCAACAACGTGTGCGACAGACTTACGTCAAGTATGCAACACTTCTGTCTGCTCAGCCAGAGACGCGGAGCGACTGTGGGAAATTGGGTGCCGGACGGCTCGTGGAGCCTGCGGGTTTGGTAACAGGGGGGGTTCTTGGAGCTTGGTAGCCGGGGAGCTTGGGGATATGGACTTTGGGGCTCGGGAGTTTGCGAGCCTGGGAGCACTGGGAGCTTCGAGGCTCGCGGCCCCTGTCGAAGCTGCTCGAACAGAAATACTATCCGACAGCAGGACAGCCACCCAGCACTGCGGATTACTAGAGGGCAGAAAATCAACACCGATAATAACCACCCCGACACGCGAAGCCGTGTAGGAAATGCACCCAAAGAAGGAATCAAACATAACAACGCTGTTAAATTAACGCCCGGGGCCATTTAGTAAACGCCAATTGTCCGGTCTGGGTGGTTTTCCCCCCTTGAATTACACCTGCTGGCATCTCTCGCAAATGTCCGTCACCATGCCGCCGAGCACGCAATGGGCGTGTCCTCGGGTTCTTCGCCTACTCTTGTGGATGCCATGGCCATGGACACTCTAGCAATCCTACCATTGAGTTAAAGATGTGTTTACAATGTGTATAACATGTTCTAAACGTGTTTCAAACATGTGTTCAACATATGTTAAAACCATGTTTGAAACATCTTCTAGACATCTGGAACTTGTTTGGCAGCATGCTTCCTCTCCATGAATCGACTTCCACAGGCCTAATCCTCTAGGCCGCGGCCCAGACCCCATATTGCCAGACATGGCGGGGCCTTGTCGCGCGCCCGCCCCCTTGGCTCCTGGGCAACTTGTCGCACAACTTTGTCGGGCCCTAGAGGACAAGACGCGCCGCGAGGTCCCCAAGACAGTCCAAGAAGGCCCCGAGACGCCTAAAGATCGCTCCAAGACGCCCAAGATGATCCCAAGATGATCCCAAGAGGCCTCCAGAACCGCCCCAGGAGCGCCCAAGAAGCCCTCAGGAGGGCCTAACACTTCACGAGAGGGCTCCAAGACGGCCCCAGGGGCGCCCAAAACAGCCCAAGACCCCCAAGAGAGGCCCCAAAGGGGGAACACGAACCAGGAATCCGAAACTTCTGCTTCAAGAGGCGCCCAGGAGGCCCCAATAGGCCCCCAAGAGGCCTCCAAGACCCCCCAAAGGCCCCCACGAAGCCCCAAGATGCCCCCAAACAGCCCCCAAACAGCCTCCCAGAGCATTACAACTGCCTCCAAGAGGCCCCCCAAAGACCTCGACGAGGCTCAACGATCATCCAAGAGGCCTGAGACCCACAACCCAGGCACGGTGGCGGGATGGGCCGATGGCCATTACATCCGCCGCCCCCTGCTTGCAGGGGTGCACGGCGTGCTGGATGTTTCAGGTTTTGGTTTTGGTTCTTTTTCTAAAAGAACTCCCCAATGGGCTTCGGCCCGTCCCGCCGGCCACCCGTAATTTTCCCAAAATCCGTCTGTCAATGCCTTTGTTGCCCCAACTTGGCCCAAGATGGCCTCCAAGACGGCCAAGATGGCCCAAGATGGCCTCCAAGATGCCTCCCAGACGGCCAAGATGGCCTCCAAGACGGGTAAGATGGCTCCAAGATGCCTCCAAGACGGCCCAAGATGCCCTCCAAGACGGCCAAGATGGCCCCAAGATGCCTCCAAGATGGCCCAAGAGGCCTCCAAGACGTTCTCCAGGAGAGCCCGAAGAGGCCAAAATCATTGGTTTTCCTTAGGTTTTTGAAGGTTTTTTGCGTTTTCTTCTTTTCGGCCTTCCGACGGCCCAAGAGGCCCCCAAGATCGCCCAAGAGGCCTCCAAGAAGGCCCTATGACGGCCCAAGGGCCCCCCAAGACGGCCCCAAGAGCGCCCCAAGACGGCCCAAGAGGCCTCCAAGACGCCCAACATGGCCTCCAAGACGGCCCTGAAGCGCCCCAAGAGGGCCCCAAGACGGCCCAGAGAGGCCCCCAAGACGGCTCCAGACGGCGTCAGACGGACCAGGAACGCCCTAAGACGGCCAAAGAGACCCCCAGGAAGCCCCCAAAGGCCCCCAAGAGGCCCAAGGAGGCCCCCAAGATGCCTCCAAGAGGCCTCGAAGAGGCCCCCAAGAAGCCCCCAACAGACCCCAAGGGTGCCCCAAGAGACTCCTAACAACCCTCATCCTCCTACTCTATTTCTTCCTCTTCCTCTTCCTGTTCATAATCATTCTCTCCCATGTGTTCCCCGAAAGCTTTCCAAACCGACTCGGGGAACTCATGGTCCGATAGCTTGGCCAAGCTCTAGTCCAACTTTCGGCCACATCGGCGTTTCCAAAAAGGCAGGGGGCGGCGGTGATTCGCCGTAGGCGTCTTCGATAGTATAATCTTTCTCGCCCAGAGGTCGTCGTTGGTTAGTGGCAACCAGATCCAGCTGTCTGCATCATGGTGTGTGTGTGTCGAATCCTCTGCGCATTTGTTAGTGTGGTTATATTCGCCGATCTTGGCCGAACATGCATACGGTCGGACCTAGGACAGAAGAACATCCCTCAAGAACTTGAGACCCTCCGCCAGCCCAACCACACAGAACATCCAAGGGTACCCTCCCCAGGATGCACAAGAGCATCCAACAAACACGAAGAACACTAGGGTACCCTCCCCGAACCGACCTCGATCTTATACCTTGGTCCGGCTGTATCCCTCTCGGGCCTTGGGATCGGGGGCCGCAGATTTTCCGAGCGGGCGTCATACGACGCCGTGGCCGGGTCAAGTCAAGCCGTAGGCTGCGACAACCCATGGGAACGTGCACGCACGTCTGCAATGTTCTCGCCACTTCCTCCTCCTCTTCCTCCTCTTCCTCCTCTGGGGGAGGAGGAGGAGGAGGAGGAGGAGGAGGAAGAGGAGGAAGAGAAGATCCTGGCAGGAGGGGAGGGGGGGGAGGAGGAGGAGGAGGGGGAGGAGGAGGAGGAGGAGGAGAGGAGGAGGAGGAGGAGGAGGAGAGCTCCTGGCCAACGTGTATCCAGGCGGAGAGCCAGGGGAGACGCGAGCAGGGGCGGGCCTTCTCAGAAGGCTCCTCCTCCTCCTCCTCCTCCTCCTCCTCCTCCTCCTCCTCCTCCTCCTCCTCCTCCTCCTCCCCTCCTCCTCCTCCTCCTCCTCCTCCTCCTCCTCCGGTCTTCTGAGAAGTGTTCTAAGCCTGCCCCGAAGGCGCAACAAAACTCTCACGAGGCGCGAGGGCTCCCGAGAAGTGCCGCCGCCTTCTGAGAAGGCTCGGCGATGGACAAACCTCCCTTTAGTAGACCACTCTTTAGTGAAAACGGCCTAGGACCGAAACCGACGGACCTGGACCCGCAAAAATGACGGCCGCGACGCCCTCGAGAACCGAAAACGGCCAATTCACTAATCGACGTGTCAGGGTAGGAGGTCTATCTATCTCCGAAAGGCCTTCTCCTTCTCATTTCCCCCCCTCGTTCGCCGCCGAGTATCGCATGCAGATGCCCACGAGCTGGCGCTGCATACGGACGCAACATGGCCACGCGAACGTGGACCAAAAAGATGAGCCGCTTCGTCGACGGCACACAGCCCAGTTGACCTACCCCAGGCTAGGGTTAAGTCGGGCGCGTCCCTCTACATGAGGGATATTCAAAAATATAGTCTAACAACAATATGGGGACGATTTTCCTGGTATGCTTGTGGATTATTTCTGGTGTTGCTCGACTCTTTCATTTTTCTTCCAAAATCGGCCTGCAGGGGGACATGCCGTACCCCAGGTTGGGGACAGTCCAAGGTGGGGAGACACGTCACGAATAATAGGAAGGCACAGATTATATAAAGTGTGCTGGACCTTAATGTTCGTGTCAGCGGCACGGCACGAGGCTGCGAGACCTGCGAGGCGGGGAGCTACCCATCTCCAATGCCTGGGAACCGACGTCCTGGTGCCCCAGCAGGCGGTGGCTATGGATAGATTTGGGCCCCCAGGGGCCCGAATGTATCCATATCCGCCGCCTGCCGAGGTCCCCGAAAATCGATCCTCCAGGCGGTGGTCATGTATACTTTCCGCCTCGGAAGACTGGACTCTTCTGCTGCGGGCACTGCTCCAGGGCAAACCACCGAGCGGAGCAGCGGCGGGCCTGTCAAACCCCGCGCCCGGGGCGGGAAGCGCCGAATGCTGCCAGAGGCGTGCAGCGGCCACCGGCCCAAATTGGGGCCCACGGCACCCGCCGCTGCCTCCCTCGGGGATCTTCTGACCCGGGTCAATCCAGACCCCGGTCAGTCGGGCCTTGCGGGATCCTGCGTGATCCTGCGCCCAAGCCCGGGTCAATGCGAAAGATCCTACAAGATCCTGCAGGATCCTGCACACAAACCCGGGTCAATGCGACCCTGGCCCTGCAGGATCCTGCAAGATCGGGCGCTCTGGCTGACCCCCGTTTGCATTGACCCCCTTCTCGAAGCTCCCGGTTCCCGCGCGCCTCGCCTATTCCGGCCCCTCACGACACGAAAAACAATTAATGCGACAAACTTATGTCGCTCTCGACATTTCGAGGCCCTTGCCGGGTCCCAGAACCAACTGTCCCAAGGAAGAGGTCGAGAGTCGAGACCTTCGGGGCTCCACGCGGTAGAACAAAAAACAAAGTCCTGATTGTTGGTCGCCTGGGCGATTGCCCTCCCCCCCCCATACGACGTCTCGCAGATGAGCGCGCCGAGCCTTTTAGACTCGCACGCGATAGTCCCTGCAGCTGCAGCTACGCAAGGCTGTCCCGGCAGCATATTGCTGCAGGTTGTCTCTGCAACAAGTTGGTGCAGGCTGCATAAAGACGAGGGATTCGAAGGCTGTAGCAGCGCAGCGGCTGTCGCTGCAGCGAGCAGCTGCTGCAAGGGCCACGGTCTTCAGACCGACATGGAGATGTGCAGTTTCTGCACCCCCTCGCCTCTTGGAGAGAAGCTAAGAACTCCTCCACATCCTCCTCTACTGTACCTCCTCGCCATCTATGTGGGGGCGAGCCACAAGCTGTCCACGCTCACGGACTCGCGGTTGCCTTTGCAATGCTCTCCTCGCCCGAGGAATCCGAGCCAGCTGTCACGAACGCCTCGTCCAATCTATTCTCGGGGATCCTCTTGACTGGACGGTCGGCCACGTACCAATAGATCGCAAAGAAGTGGCAGGTGCTGGCAGCGAGCACAAACAAGTGCCAGATGGAATGGTCCGGGATCTCCCACACGTGCCCGTTCCGCACGAAGAAGGGCACGCCTGCGCTGTAGAGAACCCCGCCGCCCACTAGCAGGAGGGCCCCCTCACGGCCGAGCTCCCTGAGGATCTCCTTTATGACAGCAACGCACGTCCATCCCATCACCAGGAAGAAGGTCAGCCGCAACGCCGTTTCACCAGGTCCGCGGTAGAAGGCAGCCACGGCGATCCCCAGAAACGAAGAGATCCACATTCCTCGGATGAGCGCCTTGGCCCACCACTCCCCGTGGAAAAGAATGACGAAGAAAGGAGTGTATGATCCAGAAATCAATAAGAATATCCCGCAATAGTCCAGGGTGCGAAACACCTCGACTGTGGTTCGCCCCAAGGCAAAGAACGAGTGGTACAGGGTCGAAAACAAATACAACAGAGTTGCCGATACACAATAAATCGTAACAGAACACTTGTAATAATCAGGCTTGCTCCTGACCTTCAAGAGGAGCAGCACCATGCCTGTTATACCCAAGCACACACCACACCCATGAGTGACTGCGTTGAACACCTCGTCCAAGACGCGATTGCCATCCAGGTTGACTTCTATCGTCTTCTCGTCGGCGACCTCAAAGATGCCCTGGCACGTCACAAATTCTATGATGTTGTTCTGCAGGTCCACGGTCTTCAGGCTCGAGTTCCTGAGGAGGTCGAGCACTACCTTGAGTGGCAACGATAGGGGGGTTAGGCATAGGGAGGGTTGCATCGACCTGGAATCGGCGATACATCGCCGATAGATCGGCGATAGGCCCCTGATAGTGAATCCGCACCTTCCTGGGCAGGTTGGGGCTATCGGGCCCCTATCAGCGATCAATGGGCGATTGCGTGTCGATGGATCCCCCCCTATGCCGATCCCCCCCTATCGTTGCCCCTGATACCTCAGGAGAGCCCAAATCACATCAGTGAGACGGACCCGCGATCGGAATGGTTCGGACCGGCGGAAGTCGGCAGGCGCGTGGGGCCTCCACTGCGGCACCGAAGCCCGCATCGGCATCCGGGGCCGCATCGCAGGTGTTACCGACACCGAATCGACATGCAACCGAATCGAGTCGGAGGAGTCGCAAGGGAGCCCCCGGCTGCCTGGCCGCCCTCGTCGAAGAGGTCGCAGCCGTGCAGCCGGAGCTCGCGCAGGGTCCCCGACGCGCGGATCGCGGAGCCCACCGCGCACGCGCCCTCGAGGCCGACCTCCTGGTGCGACAGGTCCAGCGCCTCCAGCGCGCAGCTGGGGTGCAGCAGCAGCTGCGCGACGAGCAGCATGCTGGAGGCGTCCAGGCGTGCGCGGGACAGGTCGAGCGACCGAAGGCGCGACAGGTAGCGGCCGCCCTCGTCGAGCAGCAGGAGGACCAGCGCTCGCAGGTCCAGGTTTCCGAAGGACGAGCGTATCGAGACGTTGCTGAGCCCGACGTCCAGCTGATTGAGGACGTCTGGGGACGGCTGCAAGCCATACTCGCTGCACGAGTCGAGGTAGCCCAGGATCCCGGGCTGGCTCTGGGCCAACGCCGTCTCGTTCGCGCGCCTGGGTATCGGACACTGCCTTTCGGGGCCGGTGCCGAAGCCCGTCCTGTACACCAAGGGCAACTGCCCGACTGCCAGAGCGGGCAGCAACGCTGCCCGTGCAAGTTGGCATGGCACGCCCATCCGAAGGGAAACAAGGAGACAGAGAGAGAGAGAGAGATAAAGAAAGAGTGGGAGTGAGAGAGAAAAAAAGGGAGAGAGACAGAGGAGAAGGAGGAAGAGAGAAGGATAGAGAGAGGCGCAGGGCCCTTTGACCTCGAACGGAATGGAACCTATGTGCGCACCGAGTGGCATCCGAAAATAAACGCCTCAAGGCGCCACCACGATGACGTTCGGCACTGTGGGGCCGCATTGCGATGACGTCTGGTTGTGGCCAACGCCGGGCCCCGCACCCCCCAACGGGCGCGAACAACTTTGGATAGTGAAGCATTCGATTGGTTAAGGCTCTTATATTCTAAAATGTTCGCGACTGTTCGAACCTTTGTTCAAACCAGACGGCTCGGAATTTAGAGGCCTCCTAGATATGGTCCGAGTAGATGTCGCCAATGCATCGCCGATGTATCGGGGATGCATCGGCGACGCATGGGCGACGTCGGCGATGCATCGGCGACGTCGGCGTGGGAAGCACGGGCTTCACATCGAGCCGCATCGCCGATGCATCGGCGATGCGGCGCGATCCTCCGACCCCATGTAAGAAACCTAGAGCATTTGAAGTGAGGCTCGGAGCCAGTGCCAGGTCGGGAAACGCGTCGCCAGGTCGACCAGGCCCCCCCTCGGAAAACCAGCGCGCGCTATGGGATGCACCGCGTAGGCGCTGCGGTCGATTGCGAGGGGAGGGGGGGCAAACACTGGCGCACCCGGACGCGAGCACAACCCCACGCCGCGTGCGCCGCCGCGGGGCCGAGCTCAATCCCAGAGATGGCTTGCTCGACCCCATTTGTTGGCTGCGAGGCCAGGGGGGAAGTGAGAGGGGGAAGGCCTTCTGAGAAGGCGGCGGGGCTTCTCAGAAGCCCTTGGGCCTCTGGGACATTGTTGTAAGTCTTCTGCGAAGACAGCGACGGCTTCTCAGACTTCCCGAGGGCTTCTGAGAAGCCCCCACCGCGCTCTGTAAGGCCTGGCCCCTCTCACTTCCCCCCCGGCCTCGCCGCCGAATTTGGGCAGGACTAAGAATCACTCCGGCGAATGGCCACTCTGACGTACAATCGAACCATATCGTCTGCTTGCAATTCAAAGATCTGCGATCCCTAGGACCTGGCGCCGGGAATTCTGAACCAGGAGCCTGGGACGTGACCGCCCACCGAAATCGGTCTGAACCCGTTGCTGAATCTTTCAGCATCTGCTAGGACCCCGTCTGTGCAGGCGCTGGTTGGGGAAGACGCCCTGGATGTTCCCAACAAGCACTGAGCAGAGCAGATGGTACAATATGTAGGCAACTAATGAGGCCTCGCCAACTGATGAACGCAACAAAAAAAACGATCAACCACCAACCTGACAACACTCTTTGCCGTGTGACTCCCGTGGGCCACTCTGTAGGGTCGATTTTAAGGGAAGCGACATTTAGATTTGAGGATGTGAGAAAAGTGGTTCTAATTGAACTTCGCCTCCGCATTCATCCCTCCTCCTCAGCTTGTTCTTTCCCTTCCTCCTCCACGTCGACTTCCTCCTCATCCTGCTCCTCCTCTTTCCCCTGCTTCTCTTCTGGGAGGTTGCGCATAGTTTCCTTCTGCGCAGGGTTTGCAAACAGATTCCCTGCCTGGAAAGCCTACATCTGGATTATTTCAGGGAACGGCGGGAACCAAACAACAACAAGCAACCCACACACAACAAAAAAAGAACATGCGGATTGCACACAAACGTAACAACTTAATGGGGGAACCTCAGCAACAAAAGCACACACATTTCACTAGTTCCTCCATTGATCCACTGCCCTACTGTCCCCTCTCCTCCCCATGCTCATTCCCATCATCCCAACCCCGCCTTTAACTCCTTCTCCTCCCCCTTTTCCTCCTCCTCCTCCTCCTCCTCCTCCTCCTCCTCCTCCATGCCCTGCCCCATGGAGGGGAGCAGGAAGGGGGAAGGATGAGGAGGGATGAAGGAGCAAGAGGGGAGAGGGAACGCGAGGCGGAGGAGAATGAAGAAAGGGCGAATCATGACAGGAAGTACGGTCAGGAGGGGGAGGAGTGAGGATAAGGAACAACAACAACATAAACAAGAAGAGGCAATGGAATATGGAGGATGATGAGGATTGAGGATGAGGAGCGTAGTGCTTACTCCTCCTCCTCGAGAACGTATTTCTCACTCTTCCTCCTCCTTTTCCTTTTCCTCCTCCTCCTTCTCCTTCTCCTCCTTTCCTCCTGACTGTACTGCACATCATGACTCGCCCTGTCGTCCTCCTCGTCCTCCTCGTCCTCCTCCTCCTCCTCCTCCTCGCCTTCCCTCCTCCCTCCTGCTCCCTCGCCCCTCCTTCCTCCTCCTCCCCCTGCCCCTCCTCCTCCTCCTCCTCCTCCTCCTCCTCCTCCGCCTCCTCCTCCTCCCTCCTCCTCTTCCTCCTCCTCCTCCTCCTCCTCCTCCTCCTCCTCCTCCTCCTCCTCCTCCTCCCCCTCCCACCTTTCTCCCTGCTCCCTTACCATGGGGCAGGGCATGGAGGAGGGGGAGGGAGGAGTGCTGGCGGGGATGTGGTGGTGGGAATGAGGATGGATCGGAGAGGGAGCGGGCAATAGGGCAATGGAGCAGTGGAGCACCTAGGAGATAGCATGATCCACCGCCGCTTTACTATGGAAAAATCCTCCCCGTCTTCCTCTGGAACCCGGGTCCCCCCCCCCTCTGAAACTCACCCCTCCCCTGCTCGAACCCCACCCCCTCCCTTCCCCCAGCGAAACCCCCTTCCCCCCCAGCCCCTCACCCCCCTTCCTCCAGAAAACCGGGGGGGGTCACTACGTTCGAACCCCCCCTCCCTTCCAAAAACCTGGGGGGGGTTCGAACCCTCCCCACCCCACTCACCGCCGGCAAACGACTTCCGGGTCCCCACCACCGTCCTCACAACCGCCCTCACCCACTGTCCCCAGCACCACTGCCCCACCAACGCTGTCCCAGTCCCCGCCACTGTCCTCACTGTCCCCACAAGTGCCCCCACCACTGTCGTACTGTCCCTACTGCCCCCACCACTGTCCCCTCTGTCCCCACCATTGTCCCACTGCCCCGCCGCTGTCCCACTGTCCCCACCACTGTCCCCACTGTCCCCTCTGTACCACTGTCCCATTGTCCCACCACCGTCCTCACCACCGCCCTCACCATTGTCCCCACCAACACCGTCCCCACCACTGTCCAACTGTCCCCACTGTCCCCACCACTGTCTCAGTGTCCCCACACCACTGTCCCAACCACCACCACCGTCCTCACTGCCCACACCACTGTCCCACTTTCCCCTGTTCCCACCATTGTCCCCAGTGTCCCCACCAGTGTCTCACTGTCCCCACTATCCCCACCAGTGTCCCCATAACGGTCCGACTCTCCCCCATTGTCCCCGCTGTCTCCACCACTGTCCAACTGTCCCTACTGTGCCCACCACTGTCCCAGTGTCCCCACTGTCCCCACCACGGTCCCAATGTCCCCACTGTCACCGCCGCTGTCCCACTGTCCCCGCCACTGTCCCCACCACGGTCCCCACCGTACCACTGTCCCTCTTGTCCCACCACCGTCCTCACCACCGTCTCACCACTGTCCCCACCAGCGCCGTCCCCACCACTGTCCCACTGTCCCCACCACTGTCCCAGTGTCCCCTCGCCACTGTCCCCACCACACGTCTGTCCCACTATCCCCACTGTCTCCACCACTGTCACACTGTCCCCACACCGCTGTCCATTGCCGCCACCACCACCACCATCCCCACCACCGTCCCAGTGTCCGCACCACTGTCCCACTGCCCCGAGGAGCAAGAATCGTTTGCCGGCGGCGACGGGAGGCGGGGGGGTTGGGGGTATCGAGCCGGTAGTGACCCCCCCTCTTCATGATGGACTGGGGGGGGAGGGGGGGGCTCGAAACGGTGGTGACGTGATCCCACCCTGGTTTTCGAAGGGGGAAGACGGGTTGGGAACCCCAAGTAACCCCCCCGGTTTTCCGCCAGCAGCGGTAGACCTAGAGACATATGTGTGCCGTGCTGCCTGTTTCCATTCGCGCCAAAACGATCCGCAATCCGCATGCGGCTTGTTTTGTGGTATGTACATGCTGTTCGTTCCGCCGTTCTTATGAGGAGTCCACATGAAAGTTCTCCACAGTGGGAATATGCATGCACCCCCACCACACTCAAAAATATGTGTAACATCCCAGACGAGAAATCGGGGATAGAGGGGGAGCAGGAATATCACCGAGGTGCGCGCACCCAGGTGGTTGGTGAAGTGGTTCAGATTAGGTCTGGCTGCGTTCAACGCCTTCGCTTTCGCTGAGTCAACAGGCCACTTGCCATTAGCAAACGTCGTCCAGGTTCGACCTCCGTGCCTTTCATCAGGCGCTTGCTGCAAGGCCGGGCCACGCTCCTCATGGCGCCTCCACTGCTGACTGATCCGCACTGGAGGCAGGCCAACCTGTGATGTGGTCACACATCTTCACCTCCTGGGTGCCATGCACTACTTGACTGCCTATCGTCAGCTCCGCTCCCACCTGGAGGTTGCCTCTGCTGTCAAAAGGCCCGCAATGGGACTTGGGGCAATCTTTGAGGCTGTCTCTGTCCCGTGTAGCAGGTTTCTGCGAACAACAGATGCAGGCATTCGCGCCAGGTCGCGCGAAGTTAGCCCCCCCCCCCGCGCGAGGAGGCTCGCCGAGCAACTGGTGAATCACCTTGCCCCTACAAAGGCCTTGAGGCCGTCATGTTCGGTCTCCGGGCCCGCTCCGCCTTCTCTTCTGCAGAGGTGCTCCGGATACCTAGACGAGCAATCCGCATTCGAGCAGCCCTGGCTGACGCTGGCATTTGCTTGCCTCGTGCTCGGCGAGCCCATCTGCTGCGTTATTCGCCGCTGGCAATGGCTCCTTGCACCTCCTTTTGCGCTGCGTTTTCTAGTTAGTGGCTCTCCACCTGAAAAAATTGATATTATTCATCCTGCTGGCTGAAGCATTCTCGAGCTGCTTCCGCTGGCCCTTGCTTGGGGTTCGCTCGAGCCACTGCCGCAGTCGCTGACGCCCCCAAAAAAATCGACGCGCTCAGCGCCAAGGATTATCAGCCGCGCGCCAGATAGGGCCAGGGCGCGGAATGGCGAAGGTCCGCCAACTCCACGCGCAACGCCTAAGCCTCGGGCCCTCAC